ATTCGTCAACTGAATCACTTTTACATGGATAATATTACTAACCACTGTATTAAAACTCTCTTATTCAGGTCATCATTATTCACACGAAATTTATGGAAAGTCAAAAGGCCCATTTGAAATGATTTTTATCCTATATAATTTAAAATAGAAATTTGTCCTCAAATGATTAATTTAGTAAGTTATGCTTGGCATCAAGAAATATATTATAAAACATACGGTGCCAAATAAACTAAAACATATATGCACGGACTGCTGAAAAAACAAAATCTTTTTGAACAATAAAGAATATAAAAGGAAACAAACATTCCAAGAAATATTTATGAAGCAAATAACTAAGCGACAAGAAACATAATTCTTGAGTTTATATTTTAAACCGATTTAATTTTTAGGAGGTTGAATATCGTCTACACCTTCAACCGCACTTTGACCACCAAGATAAACATTATCATTTTCATTAGAAACAACTACGTATCCTCCCCGCACCTTAACTGTAACTTTATTTATAGCTTTGTCAATAAATCCCAAACGCCTTACTAAAGCAACACAGCTTGTCGAACCGGTTCCACAAGCTAAAGTTATGCGATTAATGCCTCGTTCAAAAGTGACCACGTCAATTGTAGATTTGTCAACAACCGAAACTTTATTGAGATTAATCCCAATTGTAAATCGATTCGGATCTTGCAAAGAATTACCGATACTAATAAGTTTTTCGTCATCAATTTTGTCAAGAGTAACAAGATGAGGTTCCGATGTATTAACATAGTGCCAAGTAACGTCTTCAGTAATTAATTTTCCTTCGCTATTTAAAACACCTTTTTTAACAAATTTACCATCTGGGTCATCATATACTGATTTACCCATTTCAACGAAATATTCAGTGCCTTGTTGAAGAAGGTGGTGCGACTGACCATCCAATATAATAAAAAATTGATCATAGGAATTTTTATGATAATTAAAGCAATATTTTGCAACTGCCCTGGCTCCATTACCACAAAAGCCATCACCAGGTTCGTAAACGTACATTCTCATTAGGAGAGAAGAATTCAAATCCCGGAGATGAGCTGGCACAGATTCACTGCTGACTTTTGTAAGAACAAGACAAGAATCAATTTTCTCAAAACCGTATAACCGATGATAATAACGAACAATACTCTCATCAAAATCATGCTCATATTTGTCCAGATAGTCGAAAATTAGGAACTTATTTCCAGATGCTTCAGCGTATATCGGTTTTTGATCCATGGTATTTATTGTCTTTTAAAGTTTCAATTCAATAAATAAATTAAATAGATTAAATTAATCAGTAAACCAAATTTTTCTATTATCCGCAAACACAATATGGTCAGACCTCCATAAATACACCCTATAAATGCGCGCTCTATATAAATTCTCTCGAAATGCACTGAATAATTTGGTCCCATTTCATAAGAGTCCTATACATTTTGCTCTCTGTACCCTCTCTAAATGCATATTTTAATTTTTTCTATGGCCCTGAGGGAGGTGCATTTATGGAGGTCTGACTACATATGTACATGTATTTTGCTAACTTTAAAAAAGTATCCGGTTTTTTACAATATACCTATATTTAGGAATATGTATTGATTTTTAACGGAATAATAATATAGTCAACACTCTCTAAGTGCAATTCGTTGGGACTAACATGCATTTGGAGGACAATTAAAAAAAATTGCATCTATAGAGATCAATCATATACTTAGGCCAGAATTTAAAGTTGCATTTAGAGGAAAGTTACACTTAAAGAGGTTGCACTTAAAGAGAGTTGACTGTACATGCAAGATTAAATGAATGGGTGGAAAAGGCATAACGAATAATGAAATACATACTTTATAATCTGGTGATAAAGTGCTTTTAAACTAAAATTCAGTCGCCTGATATGGTTGGAAGAATTCGTAAGAAAAAAGTATCGTTAAGACGAAAGTTTATGATAAAAAATCATTATAGAAAGAGCGTTAGATTGCATCTTTATAAAGATTTTTAACTTTAGAGATCGTCATACGTACGTAATAGTGTTCAGATCTAGTAGGTTAGTGATGTCCAAAAAATTTTACCATTTCGTGTAACCCGAGCTACCGGACCTCGATCGGCTGGTTCGGA